CCCAGTTGCTCTCAATACTTGGCTGAATTGCCATTCTAACACCAACATAAAGACTGCTGGGGAAGGGAGATGTCAAAGGAACAAGTCATGTAGATCTGAGAATAGTTTGCTTTATAGCTATAAAAGAGATTAGATTATGGTTATTTATCCACCCTACCAAGATGAAAAACAATATCCATAACAGGAAGATACAGGTTTTGTGTGTGTGTTTGAGTCTACCAAGTGAAACAAAGGTATTTTGTTTCCCTTTAGCCAAAAGTGATGCTGCCATTTCTCAGCATTCCCTCCTTCTGTGTACTGCGACTGATGTAAAATAGCTATAATTTTCATTCTAGTATGCTGGCTTTGATAATAGATTTTCCATGTTGATTTTTCTGTAGGAATTTTCCTTTTTGTCCCTCTGTTCAAACTGTATATATCTAATGATGATATTCAAACAAAGGTGATTACTGGTGAAGGGGTGGGTTTGAATTTCTGATACAATGTAACACTCAGCTGCCCCTCCTTCCCATAATTTGACAAATTATGTGCTAGTTTCAAATGTTGAAATGTACATTTCTACTTCTGTATTCCAAAATCCAGAAAGCAAGCAAGCAAGCAAGGCTTTATCTTCACTAGGTTAAAACGTGTTTTCATATTTACTGTCCTTTGTAGAAATTCTGGCTTGTTTTTATTGCATTAGAAGTGCCACACGATCTAAAGGTGTCTGAAGGTTAGTGGTATACACGCCAAAGATCAGACTGATCAATAAATAGGCCTACTAGCGAGAGGGAACATTTAATATGAAATTGCGCGTAGAGTAATGGGAGCGAGAGACAAAGGAGTTTGAATAATTAAAAAAAAGTTCAGAATAAGCAAAGTCTGATGCTGTCAAAGTGTTTTCCCTCAAGCAGTTGATGTGGTAATTAAGAATTTGGTGAGAGTCTGGTCAGGTCATCTAGTTCCTCAGATCAGAGCCCCATCAGAAATTCTTTCAAGTGTCCTTCTGCGTCGCCAAAGATGACAACAGCAAATCAATAAGTGCTTGAAATGAAAGGGGTTGTTGGCCAGCCCCCGAGGCTACAGATTTTCACACCGCCAGCCTGTTTCTGAACTTCTAGCATTCCTTTGCACTGTCTCTCATAAGAAGAGAGACCTTTTATTCCTATTCTCATGCGAAGGTAAGTGCTCAGTTAGCATATCTATTACATTATGGTCTCCACGCTTTGCTTTGCTTCCCTGCTCTTGGCTGTGGCTTGGGCTTTCTTTTCTGGAAAGGTGAAAGTATAACGCAGTCTCTGCTAAGGGCACCCTGGTTAAAGAGCTTGCTGCTGTACTTTCTCCAGTGAAAACCACAGATAGGACGCTCTGGATATTAGAAATGCTAGAACAAACGGGGCAATATTTGCATTCCCTCTTCTTTTTTTTCCCTTTCTTTAAAAAAAGAATTAACAGAAGAGGGGTAAGGGCTCAAAGCACAGAAAAATAAATACAGGAATTATTGTGTGAAGCTTAGATTACTTTGTGTTAACAGAGATTGCTCTGCACTGATTCACACTGCCATCCTTACCCCTAATATGCCCTGATTTAACAATCTTTCTAACGAGCAACATCCTCAGGACGCTTTAATTAGGTAATTCATTAGCGAGTCAATACAGACATGTATATATTCTTTTAGCTCAAGTGGCTAAGCACTAATTTCGCAATGATTATAAACCACAGGCATCTGCAAGGCGTAGTCATTTTAATTTATATGCAAATCAATTGGCATTTTTTTTTTAACAATTATTGTATTGTAACATCGGGATCAACGGCCTGAATGAACAATTTGGAAACAAGATCTGTATAGGAAAGAAAAATTCGAGCAGCCAACAAATCAATAATGTTTGAGGCTGTTAAACACAGCTAGCCATTGGTATTTACATACTCGCTTGTTGTCAGATGGGGGGGGGATATCTGGGGGAAGAAGATTGCTTGCAAGGGTTGAGATCATAATCCAGGAGGGAAGAAAGTAAATGGTAGTGAATAGCCCTGTCATCACACTTTCTCAAATAATAACACTGTCTTCAAGTAAGTCCCACACTGGTGGGGTTTGGCGCAGGGCACTGAACTTTTGCCTTGGGTATTGTTTTTTATTTGATCATGGGATGGGTTGGGTTGGCTTTTCCTGTCCGTGGGAGAAGCTCTATCACCACCTGACAGGAGCAAAGCATCTTCATTCCAATTTTGGTTCGTCCAACCGCTGGCTTCAAAAATCAAAACCTAGACCCATGTATAATCAACATGCCGAGTGACTGGAAATGCGTCCCATTAATAATAATGTATTAAAATAGGCTTTTTCTGCGTGTTTGGAAAAGGCATAACTTTAGGCGTTTTCCAATCCTTTCAAAGGAACAATGCATGTCTATGGGACTGTAGTGAGGTTAGAGGCATTATCGATCCGGAATTACGGAGTAATCCGAGCCAAAGGTGTTTATGTAAAACTGGGCCGGTCTTGAAATGCAGAATTAGGATCGAGTCAGGCTTCTGCTACAAAACTGCCGTAGCCCCCAAGTATTAGACACTGGCCCCGCAGATGTAGAAATGTTGCTTACATCCACCGTCCCTTTGTTTGTTTCTTCAACGGAGGCAAATGGGAATAGAATCGCCCTCCTTTCACCTCGCCCAGAATTCTAATATTACATGGACTGCCTTGACAGAAAGGGAAAAAAACATTGGAAATCCGTGTATTAAGTCAGCGCCACCGTTTCCAGACCCCCTAGAACCCCTATTCCACAGCAGCATGTCTAATGTATTCCCTGGTGATTCTGGGCATTAATTAGTTGTTTAATAGGAGTATGACTAAAAATGTAAAAGAAGGATTAGGAGCGTGAAACGTATGTCCAGCTCCTTCCCCGCACTCGAGGAGGGAATGAAAATCACCCTGTATCTTATGTTTCTCTAGGAGCCATTTGCATTTCCCACCAGCTGCTCACTTCAGCTGTACCGATTCTGGGGCCAGTAGTAAGTGCCCCGCTCAATTCCGACATGGGGCCAGCCACAGCGCCCTGCCAGGCGGGAACCCCAGACAGAAACCGGACAGCTTCAGCAAGCGGCGGCTGCTTTCTGGGTCGGGAAAGTGGGGGGACTTGCGCAAGCCCAGCTGTGTGTGTGTCTCTGTACAGAGTGCTCTGGCGCATTCTTCGGAGGGTTCCAAGCAAACCCAGTCACAACACTGGGTATTTATTTACCTTTGTGACTGTATCCAGTACCTAAATGAATTAAGACACACAAATACTCATTGATTTGACCGAAAAATAGGACCCAAGCTTGTGAGGGACCGGTCCGAATATTTTTCACCGAAAACACCATTTTAGGTGAACCCTTGTGGATTTTCCTTTCTTCTGTCTCTTCTTCAGATGGGTTCAGAAAATTGCATTAACTTAGCATGCCAGTCCCCGGGACAGTAATGCAGTTCCGAGAACAGCTATTTTAAAAGAAAACGCATACACATACATTTTGATGTCTTTCAACTAAATCTATTTATTTGCGGCGTGTTTAAATGGATAGCACTTCTGTCTTTAAATAGATTTTTCTACTCTCGTTATACAGTCTTCATTATTTTAGAATGCAGTTCAGTTTCTTTGGTATCCAAAGAGGATAACACTTTCCATAAAACTACTTTGTCAACTTCTAGCCATTTTCAGCTTTCATCCTCAAAAATTACTACCACATTTGCTATTAACTGAAACTAATTAAAACCATGAAACACTTCAAGAAAATTCACACAGGCGTATTTGCATCATCAGAAGTAATGCAAATATGTATCATTTTCATGTAGTGCGGCTATACAGGCAAAGGCCACTAACAAAAAGTTCACCCAGAAAGTAAACCATGCGTTTGGTTTAAATATATGCTTTCCGAGTTTTGCTTTTTTTTTAATATAGAAAATTTAATAAAATCGAATTTCAGTGGATGGTGATACAAACTCTATTTAATGTTTGGGGTAATATTTTGCTTTCTTTAAACGATGTATTACGAACATCAAATGTTAGAGGAAAAAATCAAATAACTTGCTTTGCTTTGCGTCAGTGTCTATAGAAGCAATAAATAAATTTAAAAAATATCCCACACTACGTTTGTAATCACCTTCCACACCTAATAGTACATATGTCCGATTTTATAGCGCTTTACAAGCGGGCATATAAAAATAAAAGGCGATAAAGTTTTAAAATACCTATGTTCTTTCCTGATGACAAACAAAATATAATATTTAAATGATCAAGCCGTTGTTTGTGCCCTCTATTATAGCGTCCTACACATTTTTCAGAAGCAAATGTAAATATACAGATAAACCCAATATTGCGGGGTGAGGCCGTTCTTGCCGCACTCTTAACCTCGTCATTTTAAAAAATGGGTTATCAGTGACCCTGCGTGAACTTGTAGGGTGCATCTACAGCCAAGGAAATTCTAGACTTAAATGAGCTTCTGAGTCTTGTACATCGCAATCCCTTCATTAAAATTGGCCAGTCTGCACACTGGGATCTGAAATGTATGTTGCCGTCTAGTCCGAGTTGACTTTGAACTACTGGAACAGTCCTGAGCAGGAGCAAAAGGACCTGACCCTCTGCACAGACTTCACCAGCGCTGCGTTTACCATCTCTCTCTCTCTCTCTCGAGTACGCACGCACAGACCGTTCTGTCTCTCTCTCACCTCGGTTTTCTTCTTGAGCTCTCTCTCTATTCCTCTTCCTTTGCTTGGTTCTTCTTCCCCTTTCCCCATTGCTGCGCCTTCCCCTCCCCCAACATACACACAACCTCCCGGGGTCCCCCCCTCCACAGAATATTCCCTCCTCCTCCTCCTGTGCCTCATCATTCCGACTTTCGTGTGTGTGTAACAGATCAATGCTCCTAGAGCACAGAGGGAGTGTAGATCCTATTCCTAATTGCTCTGCCTTCGCATTCAGTTTGTCTCCAGCCTCACTCTAGTTTACCGCCTCCCTTCTTCCCGCTTTCTCCTCCCGGGGTCCCCCCCTCCACAGAATATTCCCTCCTCCTCCTCCTGTGCCTCATCATTCCGACTTTCGTGTGTGTGTAACAGATCAATGCTCCTAGAGCACAGAGGGAGTGTAGATCCTATTCCTAATTGCTCTGCCTTCGCATTCAGTTTGTCTCCAGCCTCACTCTAGTTTACCGCCTCCCTTCTTCCCGCTTTCTCTTGTCTATGTGTCCCTGTGCCTGGCTCGCTCTTTGCTGATTTTCGCCTCCCTCCCCCCGCATCTGTGCTCAGTTTCCCCTCTATCTATCGCTGTCTCTGCCTCCCCTTCCCCAGCTCCACCAGCCCCTGCGCTCCCCCTCTGCTCTGCTCCGCGGTGGAGTTAGTTTGGTGGAATCTCTGCTGACGTCACGTCGCTCCCAATGCAGAGAGGGGGCGAGAGCGAGGGAGCCGGACTGGAGAGTAAGAGAAAGAGCGAGGCAGACACGGGAAGATCTCCGATCCCACAGCGAATACACTAGCCCTGCGTCCCCCGCCTCCCCCCGCCCTGCTCCACGGAACCTTGCGCTCCGCTTTGGAACCTTTTACTCCATCTGGCGCCGCAGTCAGCCAGCCCCCAGGATTTGGTAAATCTCGCGGCGCAGGAAGAATAACGGGCTGGAAAGCTCAACTAGTAGCCGGTAAGTGGAGGCCCATCCTTTCCTGGGATGTGAGATAATGCGAGTCTGGGAATTGGTTCCACTGTGCGGGAAGCGTCCCGCGAGGTGATTTGTGTGACTCTCTCTGATGTCTCTTTTTTTCTCGGGCTAGTGCCGTCGCAAACGGACTCGAGCCGGGCTGGGGGCTTTACCCTGTTTCTCTGTCACGGCAATCATGATCTATGGGGGCAGTTCAATGGCAATAGAGAAGATCGGGAGTTGTCTCGGCAAACGGTGCGTCTCCCTTAGTCCTCCTCTACTTCACATGAATACATCTGGAGGGATTGGCGTGCCAGAGATAAAAGGAGTCAAGTCACTGAGCGGTTTCGGTGGTGGTGTTTTAAAAAGGCTTCTAATGCTTTGCCTAGGAGAGAGGGGGGGAAAATCCCGTCACCAGCTATTCAGTGAGGCCTTGAGACTGCTACCTGCGAGACAGGCCCCTTTTGTAACAGAGTTTAATTATTTAGATCAGCTCCAATTGCTCACCATTTCAAACCTGCGTCTATCTAAAAACGCTTTTACATTGGTGCGTTTTGTTAATTTCTTTCACTGTGAGATTATTGATTATACTTTATTTGTGGGGGAAATATTGTCTCGATTATATTCCTCACAATGCTATATTCCCTCCCTTTGCCAAATAAAATGAAAATGTTGTGGACCGTTTCCTCTGTAGCTAAGTTTACCTTAATTTATTTCCGAATTGCAGCATAGAACACATTATTTTTTAAAAAATAAGGACACCACCCTTTACTGCAAAGAAACTTAAATCAAGTTAGGGGAAAAAAGTGACAGAAAGCTTTTCGATTTTTTATGTAGTTTCAGGCAATCGGGTATCTGGGAAATAAAAGTGTGTTATGCACAAAGGAATTGAATCTGTTTCTCATGAAAAAGTGTAATGTGTGTGTGGATAAATGAACAGCCTCATTCTAAGCTTCGAGAAATATTAATGCAATAGAAATAATCTAAATCGTTGTCCTGTGTTTACTAGATTGTAAGTATTACTGCTTGCTTGTATTTTCGTTATAAGGAAACATTTTATTTACACAAGTAACCCTTACTCACGAGGGCAATTATTGGAACTAACTATAGATTACTCGGTTGAATAAAGATTACAGGATTAGGCCTTAAATTAAGCCCCAATTTCGTTTATGAAACGCCTACTATAACACCTACCACATTACAAAAACTACTTCCACCAAATAATGACCGGTGGTTTTGTGATCTTAAAATGTTTTGCATGCGTCCTGCACGAAGTTTGCCACGGCTTCAGGTGAATGTGTTTCTAAAATAATATCAATGTGTAAAATTCACCTGATACGGTTTATTATTAATCTAAGTCAGCTATAGTTTAAGTGATTGGAGCAAATTGTTAATTAACTGGCATTATCAAGCAATCCGAGAAAAAGAAAATACTTGAACAGTCTGTGAATTTGCTCTTTGTTTTAATTGATGAAAATAATTGAATAGTTTGAAAATGACAAAGGGGATGTAGGATAAATTAATATAATAAAAAACAAAGGGAAAGCAGAGACACTACTAAATGATTCAACATTGTCATTTCTGTAGTCAACTGATAATTGCCTCTTTTGTATGCCCCCTCTCCTGTGTAGATGTATTTACAGCTGTTCTAATAAAAATTAAAAGAGAGAAAATTAAGATTAGCGGTGTAATTGGAATTTGGGCGGCTGAAGCCAAGAGGGTAATAATCCTGTCTAACAAGATATATTCATCCCAGGACAGCAGTATTTGAGGGGAGAGAAAAACTTCCCATTCGGAAAAAAAAAGTTGTGCATCTCAATTTGTTAGATAAATTAGCCATCAAAGAAAGCGAAGAGGCAGGGCAACTGAATTTGTCATGCAAGGCTTGTTTTGACAGAGCCGGTTTAAGGACCATCAGAGAGGAATTAAGGTTTACTAAATTGCCTTCCCCCAAAATTTAGCCACAGCTAAATATACTAGGCCCAGTTATGGGAAGTAGTATTTAATACAGATCGGAGTTTTCCCTCAATCCTCCTTTGACTTTGAATATCAATTTCTGTGTCACAATAAGACTCAGAAATGTCCTGAGAATCATACCTTAAACATTTTCTTTTTTTTTAATTCTCACTTCCTAGAAGAAAATCCGTGTTATTACCAGAGCTGCAGACTGCCTTGGAAAACGTGACTGTTGAATGACTTTTAGTTTGTAAACACTGGTTTGCGGCATTGTAGGCACTAACTAATAACGCACCCAGTTCAGACGCTTTTAAAAAAATGAAGGAACGAAGAAAAGATTACCGAAATGATGATGACATGCAAATTTCCCCAGAAATTATCATAAGTAAACATTTGAAGCCTGGACTAATAAAATCCCATCTGTGTTACTTCATATCGAGTTAGTAGAGAGCTGTGATAATGAATTTTGTAATATCTCACGAACAGACATCTCAATCAGGCACTAATCCTGTGATTTTACTGCAGAATCACTAAATCCAGAGCAGCCAAACTGCTGTTCTTTGGCACTGGGAGAGCGAAGGCGCACCTCCTGCCGTGTTCCCAGGCTGGGGGGTCCTACGCTGTCACAGGCCGGAGTCCCAGTGCCCGGACAGCTAGCCTAGAAGGAGGACGCTCAAGAGCTCGCATTGTCAGGTTGCCCCCAGAGCAGGGAAGCAGTACGTGTAATCAGCGGCGGATCCTTAATGAATATAAATGATCGGCTCCTTGGGATACATTTCTGCAATCCGCTGGGGCTTCTGTTATACCTGCTCTGAACCACAGCTATCCCATTTTGGTTTGAGCCTCGCTGAGTAGGGTATGAAGGTTGCCCAGGCCAAAGGGGACCGGAGTAGCCCTTAGCACGTAATATAGGAAAAGAGGAAATGAAATGAAATGGAACCAGGCGCAAGTTTATGATCGGCTCCTTGGGATACATTTCTGCAATCCGCTGGGGCTTCTGTTATACCTGCTCTGAACCACAGCTATCCCATTTTGGTTTGAGCCTCGCTGAGTAGGGTATGAAGGTTGCCCAGGCCAAAGGGGACCGGAGTAGCCCTTAGCACGTAATATAGGAAAAGAGGAAATGAAATGAAATGGAACCAGGCGCAAGTTTGTCCTCAAGATAGCGTCCCCAATTATCACCTCTAATATCATTAGCTCACAGCCATTTACCTCCCCCCCCCCCCCCCCCCCCCCCCCCGTCCCCTGACATTTATTTTAAATTAATGATTATTCTAAAGTACGACGTGTAGGAAGCCCCCTTTGTGCTATTTAGGGGAAAGCTAAATCTGATGTATCAAATGTTACAGTCTAATTTACACTTATGTGTACAAAAGAAAAAAACGCCATTTATTCTCTGACCTGAGCCGCATGTGAATCCACAAACGCCAGGACGAAAATATCCCACGGGGAAGTGTTGTTGCAAAACATTTTAAATGTTACACAAGCCCGTCCTCCAATCACAAATAAATAATGCGCATCTTATGGAGGAGTAACGACAGAATTGTTTGATCTCCCTGATCATCTGTCATCATTAATATTGCCCTGTAATACCAGCGTATCGCTTCCTGAGAGAAGCAACAAACAGGGAACTCGATTCTGACTTTTAGAACAAGGTACTTTGTAGACGTTGTTACGCAAATATATTAACAACGTGCGTCACACAGACTATGTCCCGGCTCCTCTGAGGTTTAATTTTCCTTAAGGAATCATGTTTTTTAAAAATCCAATAAATTTGATGTTTTACAGGTAACGGGTGATGGAGTCCAACTGTCGTAAACTAGTATCGGCTTGTGTTCAATTAGGTAAGAAAATATTTCCGATCGATTTATATGAGCATATCTTTTATGTTAGCAGAGGAGTAGTTTATTAGACTATAAATGTGTATGAGCCGTGAGAGAGAGAGAGAGAGCGCGCAAAATATATAGGTATATTTTTCTAATCACATATTACATTTACAAACCCCGAGTTGCTCATTGATGAAACATTATTTCCTCTCTCTGATTTTAATAGTCAGCAGAACTGAAACAAAAAGAAACATGTTTTCTGGATCTTTAAACTGTACTGTAGTGAATTTTACGTGGACGGTCATGTTCACACTGCTGGTGATTTTGGCGGAGTTCTACGTTTGACAGCCTCTCCTCTCTGTCTTCTGTCTCTCGCTCGTTCTCTCTTTAGTAGGGGTGCAGCCTTCTACCGTTGAATGTCTTTTCTCCAAAGACTCTGACATTAAAAAGGGGGAATTCAGCGACACTTCAGAGAGCAGGAAAGAGGCCACCAGCAGCAAACTCTTCGGGAGGCAGCATCCCAGCGCCAGCGGTAAGCGAGAGCTTCCAGGCCGCTTCCCTTCGCTCCCACTCACCTTCCTATTAGTCGCCACTAGCATTCGTGAGAGGGGAGAGAGAGTCCCACGTGTTGGGGGGTTGATTGTTCCCTCCTCGTGTCTTTTTAAAAACCAGACGTCTCAGGTGTGCAGTGACCTGTCCTGGTTGGGTTCCAAAAGGTTGTTATGTGGGCAGCGAACTTGCAGAGGAAATTTCCCAGACTCCTTTCACATCCTGCACTCTCTCTCTCTTTCTCTAGCTCTTGTTTAGGGACGTAGGCCGGCCCTGAGCTAAAACGTGGTCCAACAGCGACCTCTGCTGCTGCACCTCTGCGCCACTGCACAGGGAAGCAACAAAAAAGGGTGGGGGGGGGGGACTGGACAATGGCAAAAAGTGAAGTGGGTCCAGGTTTCTTGCTGGGGGCGTGCAACTCAATGAAAATGGATATTCTCCGCGAGCTGTTTTCCTCGTGCAAAAAGCACAGTGCACGTTGTGAATAACAACATTCAGGGCCCGTTCGGGCGCTGTTTTTATAAGGTAGCACTTCCCACGGAGTTCAAAGGGAGGGGGATTGGGTGCAGGCAGGATCTGACGGGTGGACTGTCTGGATGTATCAGACCATCTTTCAGTGCGCGCTTTTGCTGTGCTTTAGAATGTTCTCTTTGCGGACCTGATCGGAAGTGTTTGTGTCAGCCTTTTAAAGTGAAGTTTACAATAAAAATCACTGCTAAGAGTTCAGAATAATTGTGGATAACTAGATGCGCTACATATCGGAAATGTCTTTTTTGTTTTTTAAAAAAGCATAGGAGACCGTCTAGCTTCCACTGATAGGAGAATCACTCCTCCCCCTTTTAGTGTTTCAAATATGTGAATTCAACACGTAATAGAGAAAAACATCAATGTAAGCATGTTACAAAGAAGAAAACAAGCTCTATTTCAAGATCCTATTTAATCCAAGAGAGGCATAATTTTGTTTAAATAACATGTATTAGAGCGAATAAATAGTACAGGAAGCTGGACTGAACTTAATAATGTAAGTATTCCTGGTCTTGTGGTTAAACAGTTACTTGTAAGAATGTAGTATTTACCCTGTTTGGCTAAATAGCTTAATATGTTTCAGATACTATCCAGTGATTTGCAATTTTTCGTTCCCCATCCGCTTTTGGAAGTTTTAATCGCCGCTTGACAGCTACTTGTAAAAATAAATGATTAGACCAGAAAAAATGCTTAAAAGTCAAGATTAGAGACAATTCCAAATCCTGAAGTATCATGACCTAATAATTTGTCATCTCGAAAAAATACATGATATTAAATTGTGCACATGTAAGGTTTATCAATGTTTGGCACTTTTTAACCCACAAGTAATAGCTGCTAAATAATGTGGAGACGAAGGATGACATTGGTTTATATATGGGTTGAGAATAACAAAGGCCTTTTTACCCTTCACCTTTTTCCCAATGAACAGGTGGTCTTAATCAAAGACTATAGCACGATCTAATGGGAAAGTAGGGACCTTTCTGCTATAATAAATTTATGAGTCCTTACAAGTCAGTTTTATTCGTCTAAGTATTTTTTTAAAAAAGCAATATCCACATATGCTCTATGACATGGTAACTTTTACTTCCCTTGCTGCAAAATAAATGGTTATTTTCTTAACCATTAATTATGAGTCTGGATTATTGCATTACATGTAAAATTTCCTGCCTAGTGCAATATCGATAAGTCTATTTTTTTTACCCTTCGAACTGAAGGGGAAATTGCTATCCAAACATATTTAATACCATTAATTACAATATACCTCTCCGTTGAAGGAATGCTGAAAACCTTGAGTTTGTTGGCCATTTGGGGGGAATTTTAAACGGTACTATTTTGCGGAAGTTATTCTATATAGAGCTGTGTATAAATATGATCCGTTATGTTCATACCTAATGAATAATTATAACTCCCGAAATGTCCTCGGTTTTGGGGCTGATTTATTTGAAAGTAATACAATGAGTAGATTTATTTTAAATTCTTTTGTTTTCTTTTTCTGTTTTAAATCTTTTAATACCCCCTTGATTTTGTAACCCGTGGTGAGAAGGCAATGCAACGACTTCATCTTTTATATCATACATTTCTAACTAAATCTTTCTCTTCTGTCGTGGCTTTTAAGTTGCCGTAGGAGAAAGCCAGGTATCAGAGACACAAACCAATTGTTTACTAGGAGCATCTTCGGCTACAAGTTCCTTTCGTAAAATTCCTGTAGGGGTTATTGTGAATTTGGAGTAAAAATATATGTAATGAGGACATCATAATAAGAGAAATACAAATGATGGCTGAGTTTCTGCAAGTGCAGAACATTTTCATAGCTCAGCAGAAAATAAAGATTGTTAGAATAAATGGGAATGTAAACAGTCATATTAATATCTCTATGAAACCTCTGTGGCTACAAATGATTTCAAAGTCAAGTCTTATATTCAGCCATAAAATGGAATATAGGAAAAGTATTTCTTAGTGACAAACCACATAATTTTACTAAAACTGTGTAATGAGGGGTGAGAGACAGGCACACAAACAAACATATTGTATAAGTACTGTATATTATTGCTTTATTTTAATTTCTGAACAGGGTCCTAACCTTTTGATAGGGCATGCTGAGTATATACAATTATTACTTTTTTTTTGTAAAATCCACTGTAGAAATCGTGTATGTAATTAATAACTCAGTCAATAAATAACAGGCTCATAGTCTATAATGTTGAAACACCATATTGCATTATTCCATCACACTCAGCATTGCAAATTGATTATTTAAACTTGTCAAAACTCATTATTTGCGGCTGAATATTGAATAATTTAACGGTACTTTTACCCCACCCCCGCCACACACACATACACACTCATACAGCTTGGTGTACACATTCCCCTGCAAACTGAGGTACATAACTGTTTAAAGAAGAATATTAATCATTTTTTACTCAAGTTGAAAGCTAACTTTGCAACCCTGGTAGCCCTCTTTCACCCTTCAACTGTTTCTTGTAAGAATCCAATATCAACACTTATTCCCATGTAAGTGTGTGAGTGGGTAGATAGAAAAATAGATGGGTGGATGGATTTCTGCCTAACTATAAATCTCTGCTCTTATCAGTTCAAGAAGATCCAAATTTCAGTGATATCTGCTAGCGCAGAGATTGTGAAAGAGTCACCACATAAACCTACCAAAATGTCACTGTGGCTATGTGTGCATGCCAAGAAGTACTAGTGCTGCTTGAACAATGTCAATACCAAAATGTAGTTTAGGATGGTAACTATGTCCAAAAAGGGATAAGGGAACCATTGATATTTGGCTTCCTAAGAGTATCCTGGGCACTTAGAGGACATCAAAGAGAATAACCTTGAGAAGAAAGAAGGAGGGAAATCTGAAGAAGAAAGGCTTGAATAAGATAAGAGAAAAGAAACAGGCCTGGGAAAGAAAGAGCCCAAAGGGTACATCTACACAGGGGCATCATTTCAGAATAGCGGACATTATTCCAAAATAACAAAGAGCGCATCTACAGTACAAGTCATTCTTTCAAAATAATGGCCAGCTGGAGGACTTATTCTGACTCCTGTAACCCTCATTTTACAAAGAGTAAGGGAAGAGTGTTCTTCCTTTGACTTCCTGCTGTGTAGACAGCGCCAAAAGCTGAATTAAGCTATTTCAACTTAAGCTATACAATTCACATAGCTCAAGTTGCGGAGCTTAATTTGACTTTTGCCCTGCAGTGTAGATGTACCCTCTGGCATCTTAACAGCAAGCCCATTATATCGAAATATAACAGGCTCGCTATTCCAACATCCCTGTAAACCTCATTGCACAAGGGTTAAGAGACATTCCACAATAGCGCCCTATTTCAAAATAGCATTGAGATAAGATATGCAATTTGCCCCGTTGCTTATCTTATTTTGAGTTACTGTGCAGTGTAGACACACCCAGTCTGAGAGCTAAGAAAGGCTGAGGACTAAGAGGGTATGGCTACACAGTAGCTCATACCTTGAAATAAGGTACACAAATTGCATAGTTTATTTTGAAATAGCTTATTTCAAAAGTTGGTGCTGTCTACACAGCACTTACTTTGAAATAAATCACTATTCCAATGACTTCCTTAATCTTTATACAATGAGGTTTATAGGAAATGGGAGTAAGAAGACCATTATTTTGAATTTATTTCAAAATAACAGGCTTCTTGCATAGACGGCACATAATGTTATTTTGCAATAATGGACTTTATTCTGAAATAACTCTGCTGTGTAGATGTACAGACAGGGCTGGGAGCTTAACAGTGAAGGTGGAATTCTTTGAAGGAAGAGAAAGGAGATTTCCAGGTTCTAAATGAGCAACACACGCTGGTCATATACTACATTTCATTATGTTTCCTCAGTTGATTGGGACTGATTATCTTCTAGGGGCAACGCAATTTATAGCAGCTCCTTCCCCAAACTGAAGTTTTCCTTCAAACATTCTCTGAAAAATGGGAACTAAAAGTTTACTTATTGTTCCTTTGATTTTTTTCATCGTCATCTCACAATAATATATGCAGTAGTTGTTAGACTGACTCCAGGGAAAACTAAATATATAACGAAAGCTTATTCGTGAGGAGGAATATACTAATGGAACAATCTGATGTCTTCTTAATCCTATGTAAAAAGCTTTGTCGTCTTCCTAATATTGACTGAATGGGTAATTAATGGCTCTTCATCTAGGAGAATACCCGGTAATCCAAGTTAGGCAAAAGACAACAAGCCGAAGGTAAAAGAAAACAGGACTAGCTGGAGACTCAACATAAGAACCAATTTATGCATTTAGGAGAGTATTACATCTAGAAACAATGATCTTATACTAGATGAAGACAAAAGTGGGAAAATAAATACCTGCAGTATGTCTTGCAAACACAGTAGTATCCAGCTAAGCAGGTCAACCGAGCTCCTGTTTCGAGATCTCGCTCTCTTTTCCCTTCTCTCATCCACAGACACATT